ACACAACAACATTAACAACAACAACATTAACAACAACATTATTAACAACAACAACAACCTTAACAACAACAACAANCTTTAACAACAACATTAACAACAACAACAACACCTAACAACTGAACATTTGGTACTCAATGGCACAGCGGGTGATGGCAAGAATTTATTTGAAATCATCGTAAACCTCGTTCTACCTTTAAATTATCTCTCTCCCTCTCTCTTCCTCTCTCTCTTTTTCTCATTTTGTAATCTCTTTCTCCTTCTCTCACTCTTTCTCTCTTTTCATTTTCTTAGCTCTCTAATTTTTTATCGACTGTTTTTTCAAGTTTCTCTCTCTCTCTCTCTTTCTCTCTCTCTCTCTCTCTCTTTCATTCTTTCCCTCATTTAAAGGCTTGAATTATTTCCTTACATTTTAATTTTTTGCACGCATTCTTACTCTCTTCCTCTCTCTCTTTCTCTCTCTCTCTCTTTCTCTTTCTTCCTCTTCTTCCTCCTTTCATTCGTTTTTTCATCAGTTTTCCTTCATTTCATCCTCACCTACGTACATTCACTTTTGATAATCTATAGTACCATGGTCTTGATTTTTGTATGAGCATCATCATCATCATCATCGTCATCATCATCATCATCGTCGTCGTCGTAGTTGTTGTTATTGTTGTTAGTGTTGCTGTTACTGCTATTATCGTTACTGTTATTTTTGTTTATGTTAATAATAAATTAATATAAATAATAATAATAACAACAATAATAACAACAACAATTTTATTATTAGTAATAATTTTTTAATAATATTTTTATATTTCGACTTAGCTCGTTTTATTGCACAGCACTGTGAGATTTGCTCTTATAAGGCAAGCAGGTGTTGGCTATATGATAATAATAATAATAATAATAATAATAATAATAATAATAATAATAATAATATTATTATCAGTAATAAATAATAATAACAAATAATAATTATTATAAATGAGAATAACAACAACAACAACAACAACAACAACAACAGGACCATTAGCCAAAGCAACAAAACAACCACTTGGAAATAGCATCAACAAAAACAACAAAGACGATGACACACTCTAGAAAACTATAATTAGATTACGGTGGCATGTATGTTTGTCGGTTTGAACATTTGTATGTTTGTTTGTATGGTTGTGTGTGTGTGTGTGTGTGTATGTTTGTATGTATGTATGTATGTGTATTCATGTATGTATGTGTTAATGCACCCATACTTACGCAAAATTATGGACACCTGTATACAGAAGCGCGCACACACACAAACATACACACATATTCACACCAACAAACACACAAAAACACACGTACTAACCCGCACATATACGCACACATACAAACACATACACACACACACACACAGATATACATACAGACAAACTTTCGGAAAATATCAGTGTTGTATGTTTGATGCCCCAGGGCAGACAATCTAAAAATGAATGAGTGAGTGTATTAATGAGGTAATGAATGAATAAATGGATGAATGAATGCATAGATGAATGAATAAATGAATGATAAAATGAATGAATGAACGAACGAATAAATAAATTATGATTAACTAGTTTTATGATTCATAACTTTAAGAAAATAATTATTAGCAGTTTTATTTTTACATCAATAAAAAATGTATTTGTTGATTGGCTTAATGATCGATTGATTGATTGATTGATTGACAAATTGATTGATTGATTGACAAATTGACAAATTGATTGATTGATTGACAAATTGATTGATTGATTGACAAATTGATTGATTGATTGACAAATTGATTGATAAGAATCTTATCTGATAGAATAATGATTGACAGATTGCACAATTTAGAACAATTTGTAACAATAGACGTACGGCAAACGACACAATCGATATGATTATGTCGAAAACACACACACACACACACACACACACACACACACACACACACACACACACACACACACACACACACACAAACACAAACACAAACACGTACACACAAATTAACAAGAAAAAAAATTAAAAACCTCTATAGGTTGGAAATATAAGACTAGAATAAAGAAAAAAAGAGTAGAGTACTATAGATATCGAAGTAGAAACATGTGTGGGTAGGTTTGCAGACCATACAAATATTGTTTACACGTGCGTTCTCACATAAAAATACACATACACATACATACATAAAAATACACATACACATACATACATACAAATACACATTTACTTACATCCATACACACATACATACATAAATTTTTGTTTTGGTTTTAACATACACACATACATACACACATACATACATACAAATATTCCTAAATCCTAAAGTATGAAATACAAAACTTTAAGCTGATAAAAACTAGAAAAAAATAACATTAATTCAATACATATACAAACTTGAATATTTTCTGTAGCGCTTCACTTATATATATATATTACACAATTTGTGATTTATGTAAAATTTTGTGTTGTTCATGTTGGTAGGGCGTGGTCTTATGATGCTTGACGAACTTTTTTTATGTTTTAGTTGATGTTGCTGACGTTTTGTTGATGTTTTGTTGATGTTGTTGATGTGTTTTGGAAGATTTTTTTGTTGTTGTCGGAGTTGTTTTGTTTAGCTGTCTATGTTGTTCGATGATTTATTAGTTCGTAGTAACTTAGTAGCTAATGTTGTCTTGTGTTGTAGGTGTTTAGGCTAAAAAAAGAACACAAAATATACAACCAAACATGCAAACAAACAAACGAACGAACAAACGAACGAACAGACAAACAAACCAAAAAACAACAAACAAACAAATAAAAATATACAAAAACTCACATAATTTAAAAAAAAATCAAAAAACTCAACTCTATCAGTTTAATTTGATAATTTCATTGACTAATACCTTCAATCAAATAAAGTTTCTGGTTGTGTCTGTGTGTTGTGTACACAAATGTATGTTTGTTTGTATGTGTGTGTTGTTTGTATATATGTTTATATGTTTGTTTGTATGTCTGTTTGTATATATGTAACCACTAGGTAGCACTTCGCCTAATCTTTACACTCAAACTATTTGTTTCATTAAATTTATCTCTTTGTTTGTTTGTATTTGTATGATTGTCTGTATATTTGTCTGTGTATGTTTGTATATTTGTATGTGTGTTTGTGTATTTGTGTGTGGGTTGCAAATTGTATGATACGTTTATGTTTATTTATGATGATGTTTTGTTGTTTGTTTATGTTGGTTATCCGGGAAACCAGGGCCTTAAAAAAATGAATGTCTGTTTGTATGTGTGTACGTGTGTTTGTATATGCCTGTATGTTTGTTTGTATGTTTGATTGTTGGTATGTTTGTTTGTTTGTTTGTAGGTATGCATGTCTTTTTTCTTTGTCAACAACAACAACAACAACATTAACAACAACATTAACAACAACATTAACAACAACATTAACGACAACAACAGCAACAACAACATTAACAACAACAAATCTCTGAAAACGATGATTGCTTAGCTATAAAGACCGACAACAACATTTTAATCTTTTTGACTCGAGGGATCAAATGTGACGGCCGTAATGATGACGATCGTGTCGCGTGTTGTCGCCGCTGCTGTCGCTACTGCTGCTACTGCTGCTGCTGATGACGACGACGACGACGATGATGATGATAATGATTTTGTCGATGATGATGATGATGATGATATATATAGAATAAAATCTTTATTTAACATGTTTTTTCAAAAAACTTCTGGAGTTGTAATCATCGTCGTCATCATCATCACCATCACATCACTACACATCATCATCACTACCACCACCATCATCATCACCACCATCATCACCACCATCATCATCATAATCTCTAATAAACTTATCATTATCAATACTTCCAGCAGAATTCTCCATATCCAACTTTGTCATCAACCTACTCGCGATGATTAACAACAACGTGTTACTATATTTGGCCCTGGCCTACCTTATTAATATTCATGAGCTGGTTAACTCCGCCCTTCAAGATGTCCATCTGCAGGCCCTGCAAAGTAATGTCCTCATCGATCTATTTATAGTTTTGAAAATTGTTTAAGGCTAATTAAATTTGTGTACTATTTCAATTTTAAGTATATTAGTATGATAGGTATAATATAGTTATGAATAAAACTATTTAATGGGTGAAACTCATTTTCTTTCTCCTTCATTCATTCAATCATCAATTCATTCACTCGTTCATTCATTCATTCATTTATTCACTCATTTATTTCTTCATTCCATCGTTCCTTCAGATTGTAATGAAGTTGGACCGCTGGGAATGATAACAGGAGATATTCAGGATTGGCAGATATCCGCTTCCTCTACCTTCCCAAACGATTGGGATAAAGGATGCCACGAGAGGTATCATCATCATCATCATCATAGCCATCATCATCGTCATCATCATCTCCATCGTTATCATCATTATAATCACCACCACCACCACCACTACAATTATCCTCCTTCTTCTCATCATCATCACCATCATCATCATCATCATCATCATCACCACCACCTTCATCATCATCATCAAGATTCGCTCGCCTCTATCAGCCGAACGGAAAGAGTTGGTGCGCCAAGTACAGGGCCTCGTCGGAATGGCTGCAAGTTGATCTTGGAGTGGCCGCCAAGGTCAGCAGGGTGATGGTGTTGATGATGATGGTGATGGTGATGATGATGATAGTGGTGTTGATGATGATGGTAGTGGTGGTGATGATTATTATGGTGATAATGATGGTTGTGATTGTGAGGGGGATATTTGTTGAAAAAAGTGCTACAAAATTCAATGCTCTTCAGTTCAACAGTATCACAAATCTTTCAGCTGTGCATGGATGAACGAACTAACGAATGGACGAATGAATGAATGAATGAATGAATGAATGAATGAATGAACGGATGAATGAATGATGAACAGGCTGATAGACCGAACGAGTGATTGACTGACTGAATGAAAGTGAAATGACATTACCAAAGCAACTAAATGTGATAATGTTTTAGAATAATAAAAATAATCGAATTTGAGAAGATTGTAAAAATTTTTGTACGCACTTGCAAACACACACACACACGCACGCACACGCACGCACACACACGCACACAAGCATAAAAACAGACATACTAACATACAAACGAACAAGTGAACAAACAATTTTTCTTCTATTTTCTTTTCTTTTTATCAACGATCAACGTGTTTTATTAGTTAGGCAACTTTTTCTCAAGAGAACTTGAGGTTAAAACAATTTGTTTGTTTGTTTGTATGGATGTTTGTATGTTTGTTTGTATGTGTGTGTGTGTGTGTATGTATCTATGCGTGTATGTATGTATGCGTGTATGTATGTATATATGTATGTTCATGTGTATGTATGTATGTATGTATAGTTGGATTTGTGTGTGTATGTATATATATATATATATATATATATATATATATATATATATATGTGTGTGTGTGTGTGTGTGTGTGTGTGTGTGTGTGTGTGTGTGTGTGG